GCCATCTCCAGCGGCCTCTGCATGAACTAACCTGTCAAATCTTTTTAAAACACTCCGAGGAATGTTGCTGTTTTCTTGTCACAGCCAGGGAAAAGGAGTGCTTGTTTGCCCAGTTCACAAGTCCAGGACACAGTGGACTCAGCCGCAGTGTCCAAGGACAATGGCTAACATCCACTCTGTACTGGGACGGGATTGTTTCAAGTACATCACGTGCACCAGCTCAGCCCTCACTACATCCTTATCCTTACAAAGCGAGTTCATTATTATCCCACTTAATAAGCAATGAATCAGAGGCACAGAGAGGCAGAGTAACATACCTAAGGCCACACAGCAAGGGTGAAGAGGTTTATTTCTGGGTTTTAAAATAGGAGTGCTTTTGACTTTTTTTTTTTTTTTTTTTTTTTTTTTTTGTATTAGTTATCCACAGTCTCTGGAAAGTAAACAAAAGCAAGCCTCCTGCTCGTGCCCCAGTCCTGCGGCCACAGGAGGCCGGCTTCCCATCTCCCACCCCAACCCCCAGGCGGCTGCCCTCTGTCCCACACACAGCTTCCCAGAGAACTCCTCTCTCTCTTGGCTCCCAGCCTTTGTTCCTCCCGTCCCGCCTGGCCAGCCTGGCCCCTCTTCCTGCCTGGCACACGGCTCGGCTCAAGTGGCTCCAGGCCCTGGGTCACAGGCTCGAATCCCTGAGCTCTGCCGGGCCAGGCAGGCAGGCAGGCGCTCTGCTCCTTCACCCACTGCACTTTGCTGAGCCTCCGGGCCCGAGGGGCCTGTTCCGTTCGCCAACAAGCTTATCAGGGACTCTGTGGGTGCCAGGTTCTGGCCGGGTACCCACACTCAGCCCTTCTCAGACGGCATCAGTTGGCCTCACCCTGGCCTCAGAGGCCCGAAGAAAGCACCCACCACCCTCCGTCCTCCTCTGCCAATTTCAGACCTCTACACCATCCCTCCGGCCCTCCTCTGGGCCTTCCCACCTGCTGACGGGCCCGAGGCCCGTCCTCAAGGGACCTTCTACCACTTCTCAGTCTTTTCTCAAAGATCTAACTGCTGTCTGAATGAATGAATTTGTTACTGTTTCCTTTGTAGGGGTAAGGAGTCTGAGGCAGGGTCTTCTGTAGCCCAGGCTAGCCTCAAACTACATAGTTGAGGATAACCTTGAACTCCTGACCCTCCTGCCTCCACCTCCTGAGTGTCAGCGTAACAGGCAAGTGCCACCCCACCATATATCACCCAACATTGTTTCTACTAGCTAGTAAAGTCCCTCACTTGGGGCAAGTGAGCCTTTACTTGATGATGGTTGACCAGATGGACTCTGTCCGCTATGAGGAAAGCCAAGCCCAGAGAAGCCAAGTGCTTTGCTTGATGCTTCCAGCCTTCAAGAGTCAAAGCTCACAGCCATGGGTCCCTGGGCACATCTTACCCTTAGAAGTTGTGTGTACCCATTGTCAGCCCCATGGCAGGGAGGGGTCTGAAGTCACCTACTGACCTGGGTTCAAATCCAGCTCCATCAGCTCAGGTCCTCTGGCATGGAACCGTGCAGGTGTTTTCCAACAAATACACACTAACCATCATTTTTTTTTCCCACCTGCCACGCACAGCTCCCAGCTTGGTTTAAATCCTCCCTTCAAATCCCATGCCTTTAAATTACCCCATAATCTTAGACTTAAGAAAATGGGGCTCCTCACTACTGCCTTACAGGACTCAGGGGGGCTTGGTCACCAGCTCTTGGCCTCCCTTGCTTTGCCCAGCCCAGGAGCTCCCGCTGCCCCAAACATGCCCTCAGCCAATGGTCACATCTGAACCCCCACAGGAGGTGTGGTTGGAGGGACACCACTGGGGTCCCTCCATGTCAGGGATCAGAGAGGGAGGGGAGGTCTGAGGTCACAGCAGAGCAGGTGAAGGACCTCGGGTATCACACCCAAGTGGGAGTTCTAGCCTCGCTTCAGCCGCTCAGCCGCTCAGCTGCTCTGCCACTCTTCGGACAGTGACCCTGCTCTGTGCCTGGCTTTCCAAGGGGGCTGAGGGTAAAAGGAAGCACACAACTCAGTGACGAGTGCACACAGAATCCTGGGCTCCCCACTCGGCCTAGGCTGGCCCAAGAGACACCTCCTCTCAGAAGCCCTCAGGGATGGTCCCACCCGTCCGTCCCACCCTTTCCTGCCCCATTTTTCTTCCTCCTGAGTCTTCGTCCCCACCTGTCATTATCTTGTTCCAGTGGCTGAATACTGAAGTGTCCTTCTCTCCTTGTTAATTGTCACCTCCTGTCTTTGTCACCACCCAACTCCAACAATGGAGCTGGCATACAGCTGGTGCTCAATAAATGAGTTGTTACATAAATGAAAACTAACCAGGCAAATGAAATGTCCAAGAGATAAAGAGCAAAACAAGTCAGGGCCGGATATGGGGGAGGGGAACATTCCTCAGAGGGTGAGAGAAGTTCCCCCAACTCTGTCTCCCCTGGGGCAAACTTTTACCCTTCCTAGTCGTGTAGCCTCTTTGCCTGGGCAGAAGAATCCTATAGCAGAGGCCACGGCCAAGGCTGAGCCTGTCACGGCAGCAAGCACAGCCTCCATGGCGGCCTCCGAGGCTTCCTTTCCGACACCCACTTCTCTCCTGGGTAAAGTCAGCGGGTTGTGGGTGGCTTCGTTAGACAATGAGATGAGAGTACATTCTGTGAACGCTCCCAGGGGTGGAGAGGGAGGGCTCTGGCTGCCCCACCTCCCAGCAAGCCTCAGCAGTGACAGCCACTTGCTGGGGCTCCCGCAGCCCACCTCTGACAGGGGGCCTGGAGAGACACTTCCGCTCTGGGCAGGCCTCACCTCACGACTACCCTTCCTTCCAGCTGTTCTCTCCCTCTGTTTTGTCTCCAGGCCTGCGGTCCAGCTGGTCCCTCTTCTGGGCAATCCCTGATCCCTGGTAGCCTGGTGACCGGATCCGTGGGTGTGTCATCCCATCAGTGACACCACCTGTCCTCGGTGCTCCCACACTGGGCCACGCTGGTGGCAGTCGAAGCCTTTGACCCACTCATTGCTTCTCCCGATCCCGGTGTTATCAGACGGGCCCGGGTTCACATCCCCCCCAGCTGCTTACACTCTACTTGGAGGTTGGGTGCCCAATCTTTAGGGCCAGGAAATGAACCTTCCATGAAGGATGGAGAACTGGAGGTAGGGACAGGGACAACAAACGAACCCCAAACTCGCTGAAGATAGGAGGTGAAGCTTCTTACACACCTTGAGTGGCAGTGACATTTCTGAGACCTCGAGTTACTTAGGCCGAGAAATGAGTGTGAAGCCACCTGGCTGCCCAGGTGTGTTAAAGTTTTCCATCCCTGGAAAGACAGAGCCTCCCGAATCTCCCCAGGTCCAGCCCAGGCTTCGCCTCTAAGTGGTTAATCCTGGAGCAGTGGAGCTGACCAACAGCCACTGGTGTGGCCAGAAGCCACCAAGACATTAGGCCACGGGGCTGCGCTGACCTTGGCCCTAGGGCCCCCCCGGGCCCAAGTGACTATCACTCTGTCTAGGCCGAGAAGGAAGCTGAATGAACGCCCCCAAGTGTCTGAAGGTCTCTGCAGGCCTCCAGCCACCTTAGCACTGGGTGGGTGGAGAGCGCCTCAGTCCTCAGCCCTGTGACAGCCGAAGGCCACAGGTGACCAGTCCTAACACTCCAGGTTCTCAGAAGGGGAGAAAAAGCATCCCCTCTTCTCAAGCCACAGGGTCACCGCTCACCCCCAAAGTTCCCCAGGCTCCTCTAGGCCTTTGCCAAACTGCTCTGTTGCCGGCTACCCAGAATTCCTCAGGGCAGGGTGCTCAGAGGGCCCCAGACAGCCACAAGCTATCGACACCCATAAAGCAAAGGGCACAGCAGTGCGGCCTTCCATGAGGCTTGAGGGAGATACCGGCAGGCTCCGGGCTTGCAGGCCCTGGGCAGGCGCTCCACACTCAAGACAGCCAACTGCCAGGAGCCTCCCATCAAAAATAATAACAAGAACAAACCCTTATGTAACAGCCGTACCGTGCCAGGCACGGCGGGACACGGCGTAGCCACTGCTCTCCCGACACCCTCAACTCTCTCAAACGAAACCCAGAGGCGGCGGCAGTCCCAGCAAATCCCAGGGTTGGTCCTGCATTCAAGTCCTGGCCCAGCCACCTCGAGCCAGGTGAGGGAGGGACAAAGTCCCAAAGGTGGCGGGAAGGAGAGAGCAGAACTGTCCCTTTCACCCTCTTGGCCCAGCCGCTCTTCCAGCTACCCAGGGACGTGGAAAACAGACACGAGGGCTCCCTCACGCACCACCGAACACACAGCACTCGGCACACGGTACTTACCAAAGCACTGGCCCCGACCGGGCTGCCTGGATCAGCCCCTCCTACAGATCCCCCGATCCCCAACACAAGCAGGGTTTCCAGCGCAAGGTCCCCAGCACCCATGGGTGCTGAGTCACCCCCCTGGATTCCTGACCCAGCAGTCTGCTCCCTCTCCTGGCGAGGGGGGAGGGCCGGCACCCCATCTGCCAGGGGAAGAGAAAAACCCAGATGCGACACCCCCAGCCACCACCACACGCAAACCAAAAATAACCCGGAGCCCCCTACACACCAGAAACACAAAAACAAAATCTCGCATAAATCCAAAGTCGGGAGGGAAGAAGAAAAAAAAAATATTTTTTTCAAAAGCCAACTACTGCCCCCAAAAGGCTTTTAAACATTCTCCAAAAAAGTTTATTAAAATGTCTTCACTTTTAATGCTCGAAACGGAAAAGGTTCTCAAAATATACATACGCCTCTTTTCTCATAGAAATAGAACTTTTTTTTATAATACAAAAAAAATAATAAGACCAAAAAAAAAAAAAAAACCAAAAACAACAACAAAAAACAACCAAAAACATCAACAGCCAACAACCCCGCAGGAACATCTTTAAGTGATTACTCAGGGCCCGGCTGACAGTTACACGTGTGTTGCGTCAGTCCCGTGTCCACACGCGCTCGAGCCACGTTCGATCCGGATTGCATCAAGTCCCGAACGGAACCCCGGGGCGCGCGCGGTGCAGGCAGGTGCGTGCGTGCGTTCGTGCGTGCGCGCGGCGGGCGGCGGCGGCCGGGGGGGAGGGGTCCCCTCGGCGCAGGTGCAGGTGCGCGCGGGGCGGGCGCGGGGGTCCCCCCCGGGCGCCCCCACACGCCCGGCGCGCTAGCAGTGGCCCGCCGAGGCCAGCAGCGGCTCGGGCAGCTGCTTGAACAAGTTCCGCAGCGTGCTGAGCTCCCGCGACAGCTGCTCCACCTTCTTCTGCAGCCGCTCGTTCTCGGCCGTGAGCTCCAGCACCTTGTGCTGCGTCTCCAGGTTGCGCATCTTGGCCTTGTCGCGGCTCTTGCGCACGGCGATGTTATTGCGCTCCCGCCGCATCTTGTACTCGTCGCTCAGCTTGTCCACCGCCTTCTTGGCCTTGGCCTTGGCGGGCGCGGCCGGCGGCCCCGCGAAACAGGCGGCGGGCGCGGCCTTGGCGTCGGCTGGGCTCGGCGTGCCGGGCGGGCTGGAGGACGACGACGTGGACAGGCTGCCGCTGCTGCCGCTCGGCGTCGCCTGGTAGCCCAGGTAGGCGCGCAGGGCGAACGGGAAGCCGGCCGCCGCCATGGGGGGCGCGTCGTCGGCGCGCTTGCAGTCCGCGGGTTCGAAGCCCGGCTCGGCCTTGAGCGCGGCGGGCGGCGGCGGGGGGAAGCAGGCGGGCGGCGGGGCCTTGGCGCCCGCGCGGCCGAGGCTCACGTAACCGTAGTCGGCGGCGGGCTTCTTGGCCGCCTTGGCGCCGTAGTCGTCGGCGAAGAGGTCGGAGAGGAAGTCGTGGTGCGCGGGCGCGGGCGCGGGCGCGGCGAAGTCCGCGGCGGGCGCGAGCGGCTCCAGGTAGGGGCTGAAGTCGATGGCGCGCTCGTGCTCGCCGATGGCCGGCTCGGCGGCGGGGGCGCGCGGCGCGGCGCGGGCCGCCTTGGCCCCGTAGGCCAGGCAGTCGGGCTCGTAGTAGAAGTTGGCCACTTCCATGGGTCTAAAGGCGGCGGGCGGCGGCGGGAGGCATGCTGCGTCCCAGGCCAGCAGGCGCTGCATGAACGCGGGGCCCGCGGGCTCCGCTGGCGTCCCGGTCCCGTGCGCGGCTCGGACTCGGCGCGGCGGCGGCCGAGCGGGAGGTTTAT